AACTGAACTAGAACTGAAATAGAAATGAAATAGAACTGAAATAGAAATGAACTAGAACTGAACTAGAACTGAACTAGAACTGAACTAGAACTGAAATAGAACTGAACTAGAACTGAAATAGAACTGAACTAGAACTGAACTAGAACTAAACTAGAACTAAACTAGAACTGAACTAGAACTGAACTGAACTAGAACTGAACTAGAACTAAACTAGAACTGAACTAGAACTGAACTAGAACTGAACTAGAACTGAACTAGAACTGAACTGGAACTGAACTAGAACTAGAACTGAACTAGAACTGAACTAGAACTGAACTAGAACTGAACTAGAACTGAACTAGAACTGAACTAGAACTGAACTAGAACTGAACTAGAACTGAACTAGAACTGAACTAGAACTGAAATAGAACTGAACTAGAACTGAACTAGAACTGAACTAGAACTGAACTAGAACTGAACTGGAACTGAACTGGAACTGAACTAGAACTGAACTAGAACTGAACTAGAACTGAAATAGAACTGAACTAGAACTGAACTAGAACTGAACTAGAACTGAACTAGAAATGAACTAGAACAAACTAGAACCGAACTAGAAGTAGAACTAGAACAGAACTAGAACAGAACTAGAACAGAACTAGAACAGAACTAGAACAGAACTAGAACAGAACAAAGAACAGAACAGAACTAGAACAGAACTAGAACAGAACTAGAACAGAACTAGAACAGAACTAGAACAGAACTAGAACAGAACTAGAACAGAAACTAGAACAGAACTAGAACAGAACTAGAACAGAACTACTAACAGAACTAGAGTTAGAACTAGAACTGAACTATAACTGAAGTAGAACTAAACTAGAACTGAACTGAAAAATATGAAATAATTTTTAATATTTTTATTTTCTTTAAAGAAACTTATTTGTCCTTGATTTCCTTGCTTTTAAAGCTATTTTACTGTTTCCTTGAACAATACCTAAAGTATGCTATAATTTAATTAATTGTTTAAGCGAAATATGTCGGCTGTGTGTGAAAGTCAACAATTTTTAAATAAACAAACAAAAAACAATAACAACACTTCATATACAATTAGGTTTTAATAGAAATTTTAATATTTAATATAAAAAGCCTAAGGTATGCAAAATTAATATAAATTTAGCACTTTAAAAAGATAAATATAAGAGTGTAGTATATTAGAATTTTATGAGGCAGTGGAAAGTAATTAGAAAATGCTAAAGGGGCAAATGAAAGTAATTTAGGTAGGATTTACATTTTATTTAGGTATAACTCCTGAAAGTAGGCCTTAAATTTTAGCTTTAAATCTTTTGAAAAGAATTTTCATTTTACCCGTCCTTAAGTATGCTACACTTATTTTTCTATGTTTTAACTACTATGTGTAGACTACAAATCTCCCTATTTCTAAAATTAACCTAAATTTCTTTATTACTTTGTTTTTTTTTTTTGCTTCCCAAATTTATAACTTCTAGCAAAAACAGCTGCCAAAAAGTATGCAATTAATTTTATAATTTTTTCCTAATGATTTTTTCTTATTCTCCCAGAAATGCATTTTCATTTCACTAGCTCAAGAAAAGTTCTAAAACATAATTTCATTTCAAAGTTGAATTTCTTCTATCTTTTTTTTTTTGGCAAAATTACCGCCTCCTCTGCTTACAAACATTAAGCAATTTAAAATTAATACTAATTTGTATAATTACGTTAAAGTGTTTTACACACACAGACCGGCTTAAGTGAAGTGAGTGAGAGTGTAAGCTTGTTGGCAAGTTTATTATAACATGACCTAGTTTTGCTTCTTATACTTTGCTAACTAAAGAGAATTTTTAAAAATGTTTAAAGTTTTTTATTTTCTATCTTTACGCTTTTTATTTGGTAAAATGCTGCATTTTAGCAATTGCAGCTAAATTTCAAATTAACAAAATAAATAAAGCGTTAAATTAGTTTAGTTAGTGAAGAAAATTGTGTGTGTGTGTGTTAGAATTTTATTAGAAATTAGTTAAAGGTTTTTTTTCCAACACATCAAAACTTTAACATAAGTATTAGGGCTTAAAGTGTAAAAAAAGTAATTAAGAGACTTAATGAAAATGAAAATCTGTTTAAAAATACTTAAAATCTTCTTAAAAGTTAATATTAAAGCATACAGTTAGGCGTCAGGGAAAGTAAACCTAAAGGTTGCTGTTTGATATGATACAATTTGCTAGTTATGTAACGGAAAGTAAACACAATATATATCAAAGGAAAGGTAATTGTCTCGCCTTTAAGTATACATTCAAATATTTTACCATTTCGGAAAATCGCAAAAGACTTTTGGTAAAAATTCAAAAATTAAAAAAAAATTTTTTTTTTTTTTGTATTAAAAACTATTCTTCAAAAAGGGAAGGCAGACAAAATAGGGAAATTATATATCAATGTAAAGCTTATAGTGTCGGCTTTAAGCTAATATAAAATATTTTTAAAATCTCAAATTCATAGAATAGTTTTGTAAAAAAATGTTAAATAACTTAAAAGCTTTAGTCAATTTTATATGCACTACTTTCAATCGGAAATATAGTTTGAGGAAAAGCACAATACATCAATGAAAAGCTTGTTATGACTACTTTCAAATACTATAATAAAAAAACGTAAGACTTTTGTTAGAAAATTAAAAAAGTAAAAGTTAAAATCTTAATTTTAACTTTAAAAATGAAATATAAGCCTATGACAGACAGACAAGATAGATATATTATATATCACTAAAAGGAAATTATGTCTATTTTATAAAATTCTAAACATATTTTTCACTTTGTCAAATTTGTAAAAACTTTTCTTATAAACAATCAAAATTTGTTGCCCGGTGTTTAAACTTCTTTGTTTTTAGCCAGACATGTGTAACACAATGTTTTATTAGAAAAATATTCTAAAATTTTCATTTAACTAGCTTTTAATTTTAATAATAATTTTCTATACTCTGCTACAAAATATGAAACCCAAAAAGTATGCTTTATAAAACATACAAAATATGTATACAAAGTAATATTTGCAAACACTCTTACAAAACACACATGCACACATATTAACTAGGAACAATTTTGTTGCAATCAGTAAAAATCAGTCAACCAACAAACATACTTTCCCAGTAGCAGTTGCCAGGCTTGATCTTACTCTGCCACCTGTTCTGTTCCCGAAAAACCACCCACAACTTTTTATTTTACAAAATTTTCGAAAAAAAAATTTTTTGCTTTATGCCAATAATTTTTGAGATTTCGATTATTTTGTTCATTCTCTGTCCCTTTACTGGCAGCTCTCTTAAAAGTTTATTAGTGAATGTATGTATGTGTGTGTGTGTAAGTAATAATATTTGTTATTGCTTTTTATTGTAGTAGTTGTAGTTGTAGTAAAATGTTTGATTTTCAGTAGCACTAAATATTGGCTTTCAATTATTGTAAATGAAATCTACAACTTGCAAACATACACACATACACATTAACACACATATCCATACACTTATATACATATGTATGTGTGTGTGCATTTCCCTTGATGGATTTTTGCTATTGGTTACTGTTTGATGTTTGCCTGCTGTATATTGTTGATGTATTGGTCGCCAAATATTGACATACTACTTGAAATTGACAGCAAATGCTTGTTATAAAAAGTATGCTTCACTTTTTTTTCTACTTTTAATGCCCTCCTAAGAGTATGTGTGTGTTGTTTTTATTTTCACTTTGTTAGGGCCAATGTTTGGTAATACTAGATTTTATATACAACATATACAAGAGTTTATTGAAGCTGTCAATTTGACAGCTTTTGCTTTATTTTTGCACAAAATGTATTTAAAGTTCTAGGTTGTTGGACTTTGCTTTTTTTTTAATAAAATAAATTAAAGTTAAAAATAAAGCGAAATTACTTAAACATAAAGCAGAGCAGCGATTTGCAGCAGAAAAGTGTTTTTAAAGACAGATGGATTATTTCCAAAAGACGTCAAAGCATTTCCTTACCAAAGTTGTTAGAAAACATTGCCTACTTTGGAGCGGATTATTTGTTAAATTAGTGTGTTTCCAGTTCACTTCAACATTAGATCTAGTTCTGTTCTGTTCTAGTTCTGTTCTAGTTCTGTTCTAGTTCTGTTCTAGTTCTGTTCTAGTTCTGTTCTAGTTCTGTTCTAGTTCTGTTCTAGTCCTGCTCTAGTTCTGTTCTAGTACTGTTCTAGTTCTGTTCTAGTTCTGTTCTAGTTCTGTTCTAGTTCTGTTCTAGTTCTGTTTAGTTCTGTTCTAGTTCTGTTCTAGTTCTGTTCTAGTTCTGTTCTAGTTTCTAGTTCTGTTCTAGTTCTGTTCTAGTTCTGTTCTAGTTCTGTTCTAGTTCTGTTCTAGTTCTGTTCTAGTTCTGTTCTAGTTCTGTTCTAGTTCTGTTCTAGTTCTGTTCTAGTTCTGTTCAAGTTCTGTTCAAGTTCTGTTCTAGTTCTTTTATATAGTTTTTCCATTTGTTAAAGATTTTTCATTTATAAAATTTAATTTTTGTTATCTTCTTTGTAGTTTTCTACCCATTTCATTATAATTTATTTTATTTCATAAAATTCTAGTTTATTTGTTAGAGTATTTGTTTATTTAAGAGTTAAAAAAGTTTCTGCAATAATATTTAGTTGTGTACATGTATTTATGTATGTAAATATATGTATGTGTAAAATGTAATTGCATTTGTATTAACTTGTTAAGCTAACGAATTATTTACTTTTCTTGCATTTGATTGTTAAATGCTAAATATTGCAAAGTTCCCCAGCCAAGTATTTATTCTAACATTCTTACCTTGTTGACTTCATTATTTAATATATAAAACCAGTTTAAATAAAGTTTATGGCAAAAATAATAAATAAATAAAAAGTTGAGGTAGAAAAATGAAGTATACTTTAAGGTTGATATAAAAGATTTTTAAAACTAAACATTGTTGCAGCAACAAGTTGCTAAACTTTTACCAAAGTTAACTAATTTTGTATGTTTTGCTTTCTTTGTAGGCTTCCTTCTCGAAGGAGTTACGCCCTCGGCACCACCAGATGTACCACCTAGAAATCCCACAATGAGCCGCATGAATAATGGTCGTTTAGTGGCTGCCAATCCAAATGATTTGGGTGTCGATTTTGAGCCCTCATGTTTGGTGCGTACACCATCGGGCAACGTATACATTCCCAGCGGTAATTTAAGTAAGTAGAAGTTAAAATTCTTTATTAAAATATTTTGCATATAAAAGAAAATCTAAAGCTCTCAAAAGAAACAATTACTTGACTTAAAAATTTTGCCCTAATGAGAGGTTATACTCTGCCAATATTTCAAGTGTTCTTGGCAACATTTTGTTTTACAAAAATTTCTCTTGAAACGTTTTTTATTATTGAGAGGTTTTCCAGCAATTTAACTTAAATAAATACAGTTTTCCTTTGATTTGTTTAACATTTTTATATAACCTTTTGATTTCTAAACAATTTATTTGAGTTTGTTTATTTTCCCCTAAAAATATGCTTTACTTTTGTCATGCTAAAAAATATTTATAGTTTTTTTTTTTTGGTAATTTTATTTTAGATAAAGTTTACTGAATTTTGCTTATTTTTTTGTAGTTATGTAAATAATTTAAATAATATATAATAGAGTATTGCAGCATACTTTTAGGCGAAATATTTTATTCAACTAAATTGAAAGAGAATGTTTTAAATCAAGAGAATTTTGTTATTTAGTGAAATTTTAATTAAATAAATAGTTTTTTGTAAGGTTTACAATGGAAATTAAAGGTTTGTTAAAAAAATTAAAGCATATTTTTAGGAGCAATGTTTTTTATTAAAATAAAACGGTAATAGAGGAACTTTTTATGAATTTTAGCGGAATTTTAAAACAAAATCTTTTAAAATTTGTTTAAGATCTAAGGATTTTAAAAGAATTATGTGGTGATAGAAATAATCCTAAAGCTTGAAGCATACTTTTAAGCGAAAAGTTTGTTTAAACAAAATATAAAGGGAAATGTTAAACCTTAAAGAATTAAAGGGAATTTAATGTAAACAATTTTAAAAGCTTTAGCAAAATTATATGTTTTTTAAGAAATTTAAATTTATTTACATGAAGTATAAAAAAAACTTAAAGTATACTTTTAGGCGCATTTTGTTAAACTTTAACTAAAACAAAAATTATATATAACCGTTTATTTAAAAAAATTTCTAATTATTTTAAAAACTTAAAGTCTACTTTTAGGCGTTCATATTTTGCTTTTTTTGATGTTATGTAAATTTTGTTAAATTTCAAACAATTATTGAAAACATTTACAAATTTTCACATTTTTTTTTCCTCTTTAGCAAACTACCACAAGCCCTTATATGCCATAATTTACACAATTTATTGAAATTATTTTTTTTAAATAATTTTCGTTGTAAAGCAACTACATACATTACATATGTATATGGAAATTTATGCGCATATATTTCAGCTTAAAGAGTTTTTAAGCCATACAACAAAAAGTTGTTAAATTTAAACCTTTTTTTTTTCTTGTTCCCCTTTAAAAAAAACCTTATACTCTAATAAATTTAATATAAAATTTTCAGAATATTTTTTTTTCTACAACGAAATGCTATAAAAATTGTTTGAACTTAATTTATGTGTTACAGTATTTGTTTTATTTTCTTTTGAAAATATTTATATATTCAATAAAATTTTATAATATAGTTAAAACGTAAAATAAACAAAAATATATAAAAATTTATGCAATTGATGATACATTTGAATGTTCATTTGCTAAAATTTTTTTTTTTATTCAAAAGTTAAAATATCAATTAAATGGAAAAATCTCTATGAAAATATTTTAAAAAATTTAATAAAATTTCCTTGTTTTATTAAATTATTTTATTACAACCTTTTATTTTAAATAAAACTAATTAATTTACCCCTTTTTTCATAAAAGAAAACTAAAACCCCTTTTTCTTAACACCTTAAAATATACTTTAGTTTTTGTTAATTCTATATTAAAAAGTTTCTAGCTGTTGTTAAGCTTTTAAACCGTTTTAAATCCATTTATTTTTTTCACGTTTTATTATTTAAACTATATATTTTTAAGAAATTTTCTCCCCCTTTTAAAAAGAAAAATTCCAAACAATTCTTTAACAATTTAAAACCTGTTTGTTATGTTTACGTTAATTTAATGAAATATTTGTTTAGTTCATTATTGTTCTTCTTACTTCATTAAGCAGTTGTTTTTTGTTTGTTAAGCTTCAATGAACCCAAATGACATTTTTCCTTAAGGCCTTTAATGTTTAAAAAACTCAACATGGCTCTTTTGTCTTTTTAATAAACTTCCTTAAGTTATGCTATAAGAAATTGTTGTTAAAACTCCTTAAATAAAGTAACACAAAGAAAGTAGTTTTGTGGTAAAAGGTAGAAATAAGTGGAATCAAGTAAAACCTTTAATGAAAGCAAAATTTAAAGTATTTCGAAACAATTCCGGAACTAAATTCTTCAAGATATTAAAAAATAAAGAAATTGTTAGAAATTTATTACGAACTCCTGAAAATATGCTGTAAAAGTATGTTATTAAATCAAATTTTCTTAACAGCAACCTGTTGCTGTTTGATATTTTTAAAAAATTTTAACCTTCTCTTTCGATTTCTTGTTAATAAGCTATTTTTTCTTTTGGCAACATGTTGATGAAGTGTTTAAAAAAAGTCGTATTTTTATATATTTTTAAATTTTTGTTCCCATAACATGTTGTTAAACATTTGTTGTTATAAAATTCAAAAAGAAAATTTATTGTTCGTAATTATTCCATCATAAAGAAATTCCTGTTAAAACTGGATTTATAAAAATTTTTCTTTCTAGCAACATGTTGCAGAACTAGTTTTTCTTATTAAAACGAGACTTTCAGCCAACTATAAGACTTTATTTTAAATGAGAATTATGGCAAAATAAATTTAAGATTCATTTTTGCTAATTGCAACATGTTGCCAAACATATGGTCTAACAAATTATGCTTTTAATATAAATTTTCATAATTTTAGTTCTAACAACATGTTATTAAACATTTGTTAATAAAAAAATTAAAAAGAAAAATTACTGTTAATAATTATTTGTGGAAAAAACTTTTAAAAATTCCATTTCAAACTAGATTTAAAACTATTTTTCTGTCTAGCAATATGTTGCAAAGAATTAATTCTATTTAAAACTTTAAAAAAAATTTGATTTTTCATGTTTTCTAGATAGTTTTGAGATAGATAAGAATTTTTTATTGTTTTTTTTTCTTTGGCAACATGTTGCTGAAATAGTTAATTTGAATAAAATGTGGTTTTTAACCAAAAATTTGATATTAAACATGTTGCCAAACATGTTTTATTATGAAAACTTAAATGAAAAGGCTTTTTTACAAATTGGTTTAAAAAAATCTATCAATAAAATTAAATTATAATAAAATTTTAAAGAATTTTTCTGTTCTGCAACATGTTGCTGAATTTGATTTTCATATAAAACCTGGATTTAATGGTAAAATTCTTACATATTTTAAGCAGTAATAAGTTTATATTAAATTTAGAGTTTATGTTTGTACTCAGCAACATGTTGCTAAACATTTGAAATAGTTAAAATGCTGTATTTTAATAGAATTTTATTCTTTTTTTGTTAAAAGGTTTTTCTTGGAAAGAAAGTTGCTTAAAATATATATAAATAATTAAGTTTGCTTTTCTTAAATTTGATTTCTTTTATAAAATTAAACATTATATATGACAACAAAAGACCTCTAAACAATGTTACCTTGTTGGGCTTTGTTTCTTTTTTTGCTTTACGCTTTACTAAGAAAATAATTTTGCATATATAATTAAAATTACACTGCATATGTTAAGGCGTTTTATAACAACATACACATCATGTATATATTTTTTGTTAAATTATTGTAATGCAAACATATTTACTGGCTTTTGTGCATTACTGCTTTCATTTTTCATTCTTTACATTTTTCTATGTATGTATAAGAATTTTTCTAGCTTTTTTTTAGACTTTTTTCTCTTTACATTTTTCCATAATACTTTGTATGAGTAGAAATAATAATGTTCATAATGAAAATGTTAATTAAAATAATGTATTACTGCAGCTAGACTTATACAATAATAGGGGGAAAAAAGAAAGAAAAAACATATAGCATACATATATGCATAAACATGCTTAGCAACATATTTATATGAGAAAATGTTTAAATGCAAAAAATACTACCCCTACAAACCAAAAAACTGTAAAGGTTTAGGTACCTATACACACATACATACATTCATATGTTTGTATGTTGCAAAAGCCTTATTAAAGTGTGAGTGTGTGTGAGTATTTATATTGTATGTGTGAATGCCAGCTTAACTGTATGTGTCATTTATGCTTTGACGCCATTTTTATATTTACCGTAAGTCTAGTTTGTATAACAAATAGAGACACTCATACACTTGCAAAAATATTTCATAGAAAATCTAAAAACATGAAGAAGAAACGGAAACATTTTCTCCATATTTTTTCTGTCGTTTTTATGTTGCAAACAAGATTTTCATTACAAATGCAAAATATTTTTTATTTGTTCCTTTTTTACCTATATGTTACCTATACACAGCCAACGTTGAGTTTTACCGTAGTAAATATAATGAAAAAAAGAAGAAAAGCAAAAAAAAAATAAACTGAAAATGAGTATGATTATGTTGATGACTTCCGTTTTTTATAAAGGCTTAAGGGGGAGGAAACATTCATTCATTCATTCATTCATTCATTTATTCATTCATACAACAATATTTTCCTTTACGCCATGTATTACAATGTAGAGTTATAGAAATTTTTCTACATAAAAATGCCATCAATCTCCTTTTTATAGACAAAAAGAAAAAAAATAATAAATAAAAAAAATCAACATAAATCTGCAGTTTCTAGTTAACAGCCAAATGCTGAAAGTACTGTTTTCCTCTATAAAAAGAAAAATTATTTATTTAAATGTACAATATGAATGTAAAAAGATTTTTCATAATTATGAACTTGAAATTATAAAAAAAAACATATACAACATATAGCTGCAATTATAATTAATATTAAGATATGTGCATTATTTTTTTTTTTTTTTTTTTTGTAAAATATATGAAATTTTAATTATGTCTTGTGTCTTTCTGTTAGGCTAAAAACAAAAGGAGTAACAGCACAAATCTTTCTTTAGAAT